CAAAGGAGTCAGTGTGCTAAAATTTCTTCATTTTCCTTGTTTAGAATCAGAGGTGCTAGTTTCAAATACTTTTTAGTCTGAAATCTGTATGCTAGATATTGAATAAGGTGGTTTTATTGTTTTTTGTCACTTTGAATAATATTTCTGTTCATGTTAAAAACAAAATCAACTCTCTGTATAAATATATCAGGTGACCGTTAAGGCCCATGGGCCTCTTGTTATATATACTGTAAAATAGCTATAGTTTTAAATAGGCAACTGCAGACTGACATTTATTAAAATACACCATTTTAGCCCACTAGTACAATTATTTTCCCCCGCTCTCAGCGAAGCATTAATTTGAGTTTTTCCAATGGGTACATTTCCGTGGCGTCGTAGAAACGTCAGTTCCCGCCGCCATATTTGTTTTGGAAAACTAATCTGTTCGATACCCCTCGTTATTTATCTATCAACCATGATATTCCGATTCGCTGTCAAACTTTTGCCAGCGCGCCTCTGATTGGTTCATCTAAAGGTCACTTGAATGTGACCCTGACCGCGGCACATTCAGATGTTCAGGCGGAGCCATGTAACAGATGATTTTAATCAGATTGCCTTTTTCATACCTCTGACTGAGGCATGCCTGAAATGTGTCTTGATACGAGGTACATTTTAGGTATGCCTAAGGTAGTTAGGTATACCTAAAATATGTGCCTAAATCATACCTCTGACTGAGGTATACCTAAAATGTGCCTAAATTGTACCTAAAATGTGCCTAAATCTTACCTCTGACTGAGGTATACCTAAAATGTGCCTAAATTGTACCTAAAATGTGCCTAAATCTTACCTCTGGCGGAGGTATACCTAAAATGTGCCTAAATCGTACCTAAAATGTGCCTTTTTCATACCTCTGACTGAGGTATACCTAAAATGTGCATAAATCGTACATAAATCATACCTCTGACTGAGGTATACATGAAATGTGCCTTGATACGAGGTACATTTAAGGTATGCCTAAAAAATATCTTATCCTTACTGGGAATAAATTTTAGCGTTTTATTGAGATACAAGGTCTTTGCATTGTTGTTCATATAATAATGGCCCCTTGATTAACGAAAAACCTCATTATCTGCAGTTTCCGCTTAATAACTCTAGCAAATATTAGCTAAATTCCTTCAAACTTGATAACAATGTTTGTGTTCCTCTGTCTTTCCATCCATCTCGGGCACTCTTTGGTTTTCGTGTGATAATTGCTATAGATATTGTGCAGATATTTCAAACCGAATTCCGTATGCACATTCGACTCATGCTAAGTTTGCAAACCGATGTGATTTGTGCATATTTATAATTAATGTGGTTAGTAAATTCTGATGGATTAAACAATTAATTACACCCTAATACCTACATGTTCAATAAAATGTCAAACTTCTGTATAAGGCTTTTTTTTTCTTCCAGTTTCAAGCTATACATTATGTCTCAACAGCATAAATACTCACATGTTTAAACCTTACCTCAATAATGTTTACCTACAATGTGTCCTGCAAGCGGGGGATATAAATTCCACAAATTTGCTTGTGTGATTTTAATGCTGCTTATCCTGTAATGCTTTAATGAATTGCTTTGTCATGGTTATTTCAGATAAGCGTAGCATGACTATAGACACTCCGTATGACTTAAACCATGTGAATATTCCATGTGTGCATGTGCTCCTTATATCTTAAGTACTGTTTGAAGCATGGTTTATCCAATATTTGTTCACTTATGTAATATTTGGAATAACATGACATGTTTCGTGTTAAAGAGGGAAATTTCTTCAGGTTTTCAACATTGTTAGCCATTTTGTAATCCCATTAGTTGTTGTTATAAACATGGCTGAATAAAATACAGGAATGGGACAAGGGGTGCATGGTTTTGTTTAAGAACCAGAGCCATTTGATTTCTATGTATTATACGTATACAGGATAATTCTAATTCACTATAGGTAAGGGATATAGTTTACTTGTGACACAGGTACTGTCAAAACAAACAAGTAAATAATTAAATGTAATCGTTAATTAATTGACCAATCACATAAAGAGCTTTAAAAGAGATACATGATTCCCTTACATATTCCCCTTACTGTTGGATGAAGCATTAAGTACAATTACTTTTATCATTTTGAGACTTGCCTTTACAGTTTGGTATCGTTGGTTATAGTTATGGAAACATTGTTAGTTCTTTGATACTTGCAACATGACAAGAACGTTTCTATCTTTCAAATAGTAAAATATTGCAAACGAAAAATATGGAAACTCATTTATAATATACACATTAAAAGTACATGTACAATGTATAATCATAAATTAAAGTTTGAAGATGTACCAAGCCTTTATAATATGTGTAATGTGTTCATTTTATACCACAAATCAGGTGATATTGTGGTGGCCCTCAGTTGTAAGCTTCAGGGTTTTCTATGTTGGTCATGTGGATTCATTCATAACTAATATGAAATCAGTGGATAGTTCATGTGACTATTCCTTTCATTGTTCAATGATCACATGACTGGTCATGTGTTAAGATAAATGACATACGATATGTAACCTGTGAAGTATTGTCTGTTCAACATTTTACTGTCATGTGACAGCATTGGAGTGGTTATTAAGTACATAAAACTGTTACAAACAGTATGATACTAATCAAATACAGGAGGATATGAAATACGCTTATAAAAAAATGAGAGTAGGGAGAGTATACCCTACCTTATAACATGTTACAGTTGTAACACCTGCCTATACAGTTATAATGTACATTTAAGCATTGAACTGCTTTCAGTTGGCATTCGTAGGCAATATGAATGCCAACTGGACAAAGGCAAACTAATGTTGGATTTGCCTTTGTCCAGTTGGAATTCATATTGCCTATGACTGCCAACTGAAAGCAGTTCAATACTTCTATTTACTATTTTTGGAATCTGTTCATCTCTTAGAAAATTCTATTACACTTATTATTATTCAGCATTTACAATTTTGTAGTTCAAATAATGTATGTATCGTGTATGCTTTTTTAATGAAAAGAACGGTCATCGTCCAGGGAGGGTCAGTGTTAACCAACGTAACAATTATGACCTCATGATAATGATGATGTCAACAATCGGTCCATGGCATTTATGGCCTATATGAATGCCAACTGAATTTGGTAGGGTTGTATTATATAGTGGCAATGTCTTACGATGGTAAATATCTATATATGTGCTTTAAAGAAAATCTATCACAGAACACGTATATTTATAAGTTATCACTTAACAATGGAATATAATATTCCTGACACAATATAATATTCCTGACACAATATAATATTCCTGACACAATTTTATAATCCATAGTTATGAAGCATGTGTATAGTACACATTGGTCCATGATAAATAATTTGCAGAGTTATAAATATAAAATATAAACTTTATTTATTTAACAACAATTACGAATCAAGTTATTTCAACTTATATTAATTACTCTTGTTGGCCCGAATGTGAGCGCGTGGGGGTGTCTTTGTGTGGGAGGAAACCGGAGTACTCGGAGAAAACCCGCGTAGTCGGGCAGGTGACCCCAACCTTTTCACGTCCAATCGGAGAATTGAACCCCGGCCGCCTTGGTGAAAGACAACTGCGCTATCCACTGCACCACCCGACCACCCTTAGTTATTGCAGAGTTATTGTCCTTTGTATACATTTGAAATGAAACAAACATACCTGGATAACTAGTTCCTCCAATCCTTGAAGCTCAGTAAGTTTTACTTTGTCAAATACTTCACTTTGTTTCAACAAAATCAGGTCTTTTGATTACTTTATCTGTAAAAGGTTCAAATGACGAACCAAGGGCACCTGGAATGATGATGTATGACGTGTAGGTTCCTAGAGTAAAGGGCATTAACTTTGCAAATACCATACTAGTCTACATTCAAGGTTGCAGGGACCAAATGTGTTAAAATAATCAAACAAGTTCTTTTCAAGATCAATAACCAAGAGAACTAGAAACATATTTTGTCTTTACCTTGGTCGGTTAATTGAAGGGCTGTTAATTTTGAAAAACAAAATTGCCTGGACTTACATTCAAGGTCATGGGAATCAAATGTGCTGACAACAGAAAACTATTTCTAGTTGATTTGGCGGCACTGTCATTTATATGGCCATTAATTTTGGTAAAAAGTTATCAAATCTTTCCGTGACAATTCTGGTATTCTTTTTTTTTTTTTCATTTCAGGTGGGGGCTCTGAATGCTTGTTTCATGGCTAAGAGAGGATTCAAAGTGGATTTGTTTGAGAAACGAGAAGGTATGGCTGTTATAGCTATATGATACTATGATATGTATCATAATTTAACAATATACATATAATTATATACTATATCAACTTTATTTATTTTACAACAATAATGAAACAAGTTTTCTTAACTTATTATACCCCCCACAACAAAGTTATTATACCCCCCACAACAAAGTTATTATACCCCTCGCAACAAAGTTATTATACCCCCCGCAACAAAGTTATTATACACCCCGCAACAAAGTTATTATACCCCGCAACAAAGTTATTATACCCCCCGCAACAAAGTTATTATACCCCCCGCAACAAAGTTATTATATCCCCCGCAACAAAGTTAGGGGGGTCTGTCTGTCTGTCTGTCCATTCGTCTGTGGACGCAATGTAGTACGTGTACTCCTCCTAAATTACTGCATGGATTTCAATGAAATTTGCTGATAACAATCCTTGCAGCTTGGAGATGTGCGTCAAGTACTTTTTATTGGGTTACCTCCCCTTTTCATAAAGTTATGACCCTCGGTTCATAAACATTCTCTAGACCATGACATTGTGTAGGAAACGCAACATTTTTTTATATTTTTCATTCAATTCCTTCCAAATTTGGTATGGTAATACTAGAAGCAATAATGTTCAACATATATAACCGTTTTTTTGTCAGGTTTCACCTTTCCACATTTTGAAAGGTCGAAGGTCAGGAATGAATTACGTCACAGAAATGACTAAATATCTCTGAAGGTATATTGAATACACATATACATTAATATATATTGTAGGCATTCATGCAATCTACTCTACTGACAGTTTCTGAGGTCATGGGGTCAGAAGTCAAAGGTCATGAATGAATTACCTTACCCAAATGACTAATTATCTCTGAAACATTAGGTATTTCGTATTCACATATGCAGGCTATATTATGCAAACTTCCAAGGTCATAAGGTCAAAGGTCAAAGGTCACATGCATTATGTTACTGATGGCTTATTATGGCAAAAATGGTAGGTATTTGTATACACATACCTTAGAGTAAATGTAGCATTGATGCAAGCTACATTGTGACAAAATTCTGAGGTCATTGATTCAAAAGTCACAGTAGTTGTGTTTGTCTTTTCCATCGGTCTGTCGATAAACAATCTGAGGTTAGACTTTTTCATGACCCTTGATCTTTTTATATATTTTTTCCCTTGTTTATTTAGCCCCTGCATGGGCAACAAGCAGCCGGAACACGGGGGGTATTAGTTAGCCCATAGGCGACAGTTCTAGTTTTGATCACTCTTGTTGGCCCGGATGGAAGCGCGCAGGGGGTCTTTATATGGGTGGAAACTTGAGTACCTGGAGAAAACCCACGTGGTCACACCAGCCACCCCATACCTTTTCATGTCCGATTGGGGAGAGGTGATTATGCTATCCACTGTACCACCCGACCACTCTTAATAATTTAAAAATAGATCATCAGTTTCAAATTGAAATATCTCATCTTTTCTCTATGCAAACAAAAACACACTCACATAAATGATACATGTTTTTTCTTGAATTTTTTGCTCACCTGGCACGAAGTGCCAAGTGAGCTTATGCCGTGGTGCAGCGTCCGTTCGTCCGTCCATGTCCGTGTCCGTCCGTCCGTCCTCGTTCGTCAACTTTTCCTTTAAACAACTTCTTCTGAAGAACGGACAGGCCTAGAGTAATGATATTTGGCTGAAAGCTTCGTTAGTAGGAGCCCTACAAAGTTTGAGAACGAAAATGACCTTGACCTGTTTTCAAGGTCACAGGGGTTAAATATGTCAAAAACTTCAAACAACTTCTTCTGAAGAACTAGAAGGTATATAATCTTCATATTTGGCTGATGGCTGCCTGGGATAGAGCCCGTCAAAGTTTGAGAATGAAAATGACCTTGACCTACTTTCAAGGTCACAGGGGTCAAATGTGTCAAACACTTTAAACGACTTCTGAAGAACTGAAAGGTACAGAATCTTTATATTTAGCTGGTGGCTTTCTGGGATAGAGACCAACAAAGTTTGAGAATGAAAATTAGTTTGACCTACTTTCAAGGTCACAGGGGTCAAATATGTCAAAAACTTTAAACGACTTCTTCTAAAGAATTAAAAGTTATAGATTCTTCATATTTGGCTGATGGCTTCCTGGGATGGAGCCTAACAAAGTTTGAGAATGAAAATTACCTTGACCTTCTTTCAAGGTCACAGGGGTCAAATGTGTCAAACACTTCAAACGACTTCTACTGAAGAACTGAAAGATATATAATATTTATATTTGGCTGGTGGCTTCCTACGGATAGAGCCCAACAAAGTTTGAGAATGAAAACTAGTTTGACCTGCTTTCAAGGTCACAGGAGTCAAATGTGTCAAAAGCTTAAAATGACTTCTTCTGAAGAACTGAAAGGTATAGAATCTCTATATTTAACTAGTAGCTTCCTAGGAAAGAGCCGAACAAAGTTTGAGAATGAAAATGACCTTGACCTTCTTATAAGGTCACATGAGGCAGATATGTCAAACACTTTAAACGACTTCTTCTGAAGAACTGGTAGTTATAAAATCTTAATATTTGGCAGGTGACTTCCTGGGAAAGAGCCAAGCAAAGTTTTCGAATGAAAATGACCTTGACCTACTTTCAAGGTCACAGCGTTCAAATATGTCAAACAGTTCAAACAGCTTCTTTTGAAGAATTAAAAGGCATAAAATGGGATAGAGCTCACCAAAGTTTGCAAATGAAAATGCCCTCAACCTACTTTAGAGGTCACAGAGGTCAACAACATTTTAATGGATTTGTTCTTGAGAACTAAAAGGAATGGATTCATAAGATTTGGCTGGTAGCTTTTTGGAATAGAAAATGACATTGACCTACTTACAAGATCACAGGGAAAAATATGTGAAGCAACTTCTGAAGAAGAATCAAAAAGCATAGAATCTTATAATAATATTTTGCTGGTAGTTTCAACAGATGGAGCCAACAAAGTTTGCGAGGGAAATATTTTTAGTGCAATATAATATTTAATGAGAATATTTTGCTATGACTGCTTAAATATTCAGGTCAGCGATACAGGCCCTCTTGTTAACATTTTTCTAGAAAAAATAAGATAACAACTGACTTAAACAATATATGTTTTATTTCCAAGATCATGTTTGTTTGCTTGAATTATTTGATAAGTACTTGTTTCAGATATTCATCTTTTGTTAAGATAAATTGTACAATATCTGCATTGTTATTTACTGGAATCTTTTGTATCCCGCCCTGTCTGATGTCACAGTGTAATATATTTAAACAATACATGTGTCAGTACTTGAAATATATCTGAGATTAACTTGATATGTACTTGAGGTTAAAGTATTGTTGAAGGTAGGACTCCAACATATATATATGTTTTAGGTCACCTGAGGCTGAATAGGCTCAAGTCTTAGTCCATTACCATGTGTTGTACTGCAATAGTAATTTGTGATTTCCACTACTTTATAACTGACAAACATTTTTTTTCTTAGTATGGTGTCTGTATGTCATCTGTCTGTTATTGTTTTCCTTTACACCCACAATGAGTTCTTTCTGAATGATTGATTAGATTTAAAACAAAATTTGCTATGATGCATCCTTAGACCAGGATACAAATGCTCTATGTGGGGAGTGTATAGCCCCAATCTTGGGTCTGAGATATATGTTGCCGAAAAGGAGCAGTTTTAGTGTTTCACATTTGAAGTGATATTCCTTGTGAAATATCTAATAGTTTTCATTGACATTGGTAATATCAGGTGATGGGTATTGTATTTTCGATAAGTGAAAGTTTTATTCTTGTAGATACCAGCTGGTAGTGAAGGTTTACAAATGAGGGCTGTTTGATTTTTAGCCCACCATCTGTCACCTTCGTCTGTGGTCCCTGGTTCGTCATCTATCCATCCTTAAACAATTCTTGTTACGATATTTATCATCTTGCATTTGAGAATGAAAGTTTGTTAGTGCTATTTCTCATAAATTGTTGGTTGGATATTTCTCCAATTTCACATATGGGTTCCCCATGGTCTGTACTTATGCATATTGTTTTGGGACTGATAAAAAACTAAGATGGCCGACAGGCAGCCTTTTTGAATTTGAGAAAGAAAGTTTGTTAGTGCTATTTCCCAGAACTTATTGCAAGGATCTTTCTCAAATTTCACATGAAGGTCCCCCATGGTCCCTAGTTATGTATATCAAATTTTTGGACTGATCACAAAAGCAAAATGGCCGACAGGCAGCCATCTTGTATTTGAGAACGAAAGTTTGTTAGCGTTATTTCTCAGAATGTTCAGGAGGGGTCTTCTCAAATTCCACATGAAGGTTCCCAATGGTTCCTAGTTCCACATTTTGAATTTTGGGGATGATTGGAAAACCAAGATGGCAGGCAGGTGGTTGTTTTGAAATTGGGAGTAAAAGGTTTTTAGTCCTATTGCCCAAAAGGTATTGGAGGGATCTTTCTCAAATTTCACACGAAGGTTCTTCTTGTTCTTAGTTATATGCATATCAAATCATATCAGCTGGCCATCTTTAAAAGTATTTCTCAGAATTTACTGGAGGAACTTTGCTCAAATTTGATATGTAGGTTCCCACTTGGTCCTGAGTTGTGCATGTTAACTTTTGATGTTGATCAAAAGATTGATTAAGATGGCAGATAGGCAAACTGATCAAACAGATAAGAGAAAAGAAGAGAAAAGATCAAACTGACAGAACTTATGAAGAATGTACTATGGTGGGCTCAAGATCCCTCTTGGATCTCTTGTTTTACCGTCCTCTATAAGCCATATTTCAACCATATTGCAAACATGATATAGTTAGAACAAAGAAATGATATTTTCTCTAAAAAAAAAATGTTAATCCTTCAGATGGCAGAAAGACTGGGCCCAAGATGGGTTAGATTTTTTTCAGGTTTAATGAGAAACCCACTTCTCCTGAATGATTGATTCATCTCCAATTTAAAAAAAAAAGCCTCTTATTTAATTAGTAACCAACTTCCTTTCAAATATTATATATACTTTTCCTGCAAAACTCGACAGATTGAAAAACTCTGATGATCATGATATGGCATTGTTGATACAGATATCCGAACCATGGATGTGGTACGGGGCAGGAGTATAAACCTGGCCCTGTCTGTGCGCGGGAGGGAGGCCCTGAGGGAAGTCGGATTAGAGGAGGTAGTCATCAAGGAAGGGATCAAGATGTATGGCAGGATGATCCACGGTGGGGATGGTTCCCTCAATGAGATCTATTATGGCAGGAAAGATCAGGTAAAGGCATGGCACACACCAGGTATGGTTCTAGAAACCTTAAATCAATTGGATAGTTAAAACACAGGAAACTTTAGTAAATTTGAGGAATCACCCCATTTAATCAAAGGTGTACATGTTGGTCTGTGGGGTGTTTTACTCTGATTATGGACATCCAAGTATTTGCTGAGCAATTGGAGCAAGACCTGTAATAATAGTAGAATATGGGATTCAATCACAACATTGTTAAATGTGACCAATTACGTAGATGTTTTTGGTCGACCAGTTACTTCCCCTAACATTGTGGCTTCATTAGGACAGGTACTCTCAGGGTGGATCAGATGTACAAAGGGTAAGGAATAGATTGGTCACAATTATTACATTACACATATATTGAAATATTTTTTGTTTTAATCTAACAGTTATCGTTATAATTTGTTGGCAAAATTCTTCTATTATTACTTCGTTTCAATCGGTCCGACACAAGGTACCCGATACTTCACAAAAAACTGAATATTTATGTATTTCAAATATCAATTACCGAAAAGTTGATCAGTGATTTGTTTACAGTGACCAGACTAATATTTAGCATATGTTATGTAACTTACAGAAGATCTGATGACTTAGGTTAGTTAAGAACTATGCATAACTTTAGTGAAATGTACATATTTTGTTACAGTACATCATGTCGGTGGACCGGCGAAAACTCAATGAAGTGTTGCTGACCGGTAAGAATTAGACATTCCACTCGTTCATCCTGATAACCGAAGGCTGTGTACTACTCGTTGTGGTACACAGTACATGTGAAATGTGACTTCCTGTAATATTGATTGTATCAATTGATGATTTAGATTTAAATTTCTATTTTGATTGTATTTTCATTTCTTTTTTGATTGTGTCAAGTTAAATGATTTGGATTTTAATTTCAACAGATTCTTGTTATGTTCTATACATATTAGATTGGCCCCCATCTCTAGGATATAGATTTATTTAGAAAATACTTCTAGTGAATATTGATCACTTTAATGTATGATCCTTATAATCTCTAAAACATGTGGGCGATAAGCTAGTAGTAAAATGCAGCATATATACATATGGATGTATCGTTTGGGGGTGGGGAGGGGGTATATCTTGGTAAGCCCCTGGTCACTTTGGGGGTGGGGAGGGGGTATATCTTTGTAAGCACCTGGTCACTTTGGGGGTGGGAAGGGGTATATCTTTGTTAGCACCTGGTCACTTTGTTTTCATTTTGATAATGATACTCACTTATGTGGTTTTAATGTTTTTTGTTTTCACTTTCATAGCTGCTGAAAAATACCGTAATGTCCAAATGCATTTTGAACAGAAGCTGGTTCGCTGTGATATAAAGACAGGTGATCTAGAATTCAAAAGGTAACCATTGACAGAGCATTCACTCTTTGAGATTTTATGAGGTTGTTCTTTATAGTGTAATCTCTCTCTCTCTGAGATGTCAGTCTCCTCAGACTGTCCTGACATGTGAAGTGCTATCATTTTAGTTTGGTAATATTAGATAAATGTTAATGTTTACAGTTCTGTTGTGGGATGAATCTATCACAAAGAATTTTTCCCTGAAAAAATTGTATTATCTATATAAAATGAATAGCATACTATTTTACAGATGATTCTCAGTTCATTTCCGAATCTCAAGATTTTTTTCTTCAGATTTTCCAATCTTCATGTCCATTATGTACATTTTCAGTAATTATCCTTTTGTATGAAAAAGGATTTGAGACAATATTTCCACATACAATGACAAATTTAATAACTTAGGTCCAATATATATAGCACCATTACATCATTATCTTCATCAGATGAAATAAAACCTATCGGGTAATTATCTCTGACATTTATGCTCACAGTAAGTGAAATAGAATCCGTTTGAAAAGATGGTATTAATCATGAAAGGGACTCGATGTAAGGAAGTGACATACTTTTTGTACAGGTGTAATGTTGAGACATTTCTCAGCTGTTCAAAAATCTTAACTGGAACTCAGAAAAATTACAGTAACAGCTAATTATTAAGTAAATTATAATCTGTATCTTCCACATTTTCATAATGCGTTTCAGTAAAAGTGGACAGACTAATAAAATGTGTGTTGACCTTATAATCGGAAATGACGGAGCATTTTCTGCTGTCCGACAACAAATGATGAAAGACACACTGCTAAACTACGAGCAGACCTACATACCACATGGGTACATGGAACTATGTATCCCTCCCAACTCTTTAGGAGAGGTGAGTTAACAAACAGTCCTACATACCACATGGGTACATGGAGCTATGTATCCCTCCTAACTCTTTAGGACAGGTGAGTTAACAAACAGTCCTACATACCACATGGTTACATAGAGCTATGTATCCCTCCAAACTCTTTAGGACAGGTGAGTTAACAAACAGACCTACATACCACATGGGTACATGGAGCTATGTATCCCTCCCAACCCTTTAGGACAGGTGAGTTAACAAACAGACCTACATACCACATGGGTACATGGAGCTATGTATCCCTCCTAACTCTTTAGGACAGGTGAGTTAACAAACACACCAACATACAACATGGGTACATGGAGCTATGTATCCCTCCTAACTCTTTAGGACAGGTGAGTTAACGAGCAATCCTACATACCACATGGGTACATGGAGCTATGTATCCCTCCCAACTCTTTAGGACAGGTGAGTTAACGTTATAACAAGCAAACCTACATACCACCTGGAATAGACTGATATAATCATTATTTTTCTCAGATAAATGACATTGGCCTACTTTTTTTAAGCTTAATGGCTTTTAATATATTTAAAAACTAGAACAACTTTATCTATAGGGTCCTGAGGTCTGGAGCCTTGATAATTTATATGTAATGAAGACCAGTCATGCACATCTTTCTTTTCAGTATATTGTGTTGAGTCAAAGGTCAACTTTGAAAGCTGGTCAGGGTCAGACTTCAAAATAAGCTATAATGAGTTAAAAAGCTTTTAAAATCTTCTTCCGAGTAGCAATAGGATGATATTCCCATGTATGTGGCCAATTTCTACTAAGGATGAAGAACTTTAAAGTTTCCTCCTATAATTTACCTTAAATTTTCAAGGTCACCAGACAAGGGATCAAGTATGTTAAAATATTTAACCAACTTCTGTTTAATGATGAGTCCTTAGGTCAAGAAAAATTACGCTGGAGTGAAGAATTATCAGGTTTTTCTCAAATGCATGACCTTGTGTTGAAATCTTAAAACCACTTCTTCTGAATAACTTAGAGGTCACTATATTTGGTTTGTGGCCTACTAGTATATGGTGAAGGGTTTTTCTACTATGAAAAACAATACTTTTCTTGTTTTCACAGTAAAGCTATCAATCACACAAACAATGATTTCAAAACTTGATGTCCCAAAAGGTAATAAAAATGTAATATTTGTTCTTGATAAATAGCAGTTATATTTCACTTGTAGGTGTAACATTTTACAAATTTTTCACATGTGCTATGCAAAGAATGTATAAATGTCCCTGCTCACTTTGTTTTTATTTATTCAGATTCTTAATATATCCTTTTTTGTTTTAGACAGTCAAATTTAACATACTATTTTTTCTGTACGTTCCAGTTTAACATGGGGGTGAACTATTTGCACATTTGGCCGAGGAATGAGTTTATGATGATTGCTCTACCAAACCAGGACAAAAGCTTTACTGCGACTCTCTTCATGCCTTTCGATATCTTTAATAACATCAGTACCGTAGAGGAAGCTATGGTCTTCTTCCGGGAAAAGTTCCCAGATTCTATTCCACTGATCGGAGAGTAAGTGCACTGATCCAGAAGAAAGTTTTATCTATTAAGGGTTTATGCTACTATATACAATATTAAGTTAATTTTCTTAGGAGTTTTCTCCCTTGATTAGGCCCCTGCCATTAAAACAGAATGAAATGTATCATGTCTGTCTTCCATCGTTGTTGTTTCCTCTACCAGACTAAAAACTTCTAAGAGACACATTATATATTTTACAAAGTTTCGTAGCTATACTTACATCATGTCTATAAACTAGTTGGTATGTCGATTTCAACTTTTAGGTTTGTATTCTCAAGGTCAGATCAAGAGTTCAAATGGCATATCAAAATATTATTTTTCATCGATAACTTTTGAATAGCAGAAAACATTTACCGGTATTGAACTTCCTAAACAAGATTCTCCTGACTACATATACTTGACTATAAGGATACGTATAGTTTATAACAGCACAAACAATGGTCACATGTTGTTGAATTTCTCTACCTCTGTAATTGTTTATGACACTGTAGATTGATAAACATAGTGTTTACACATGAGTCGAGCTGTATAGGAATGTCAGCTGAAATGTTTTCTAGCTTAACATTGGTAATATGCAAAAATAATGCAGCTATATTTACAGTTCTATACCCAATTATTGTTTCATTTGTTGTAAAATTAAACAGTTTTGATTGTTCGTAAAGCTAACGGTCAAATTGAAGTATCGGGCGCAATGCGCGGCCGGCCAGGCCATTATATGGTACTTAATCACGATTGAATGTCATAATGGAGAAACATGAAGTTAAAGACAGCAAATCCTCAAATTGCGATGTTCCATATTTGAGGAATTGATCTAATAGTGACAGGAGGTTTTAATCAGCTGGTGAATTAATTAGCTTATTAGCGTTTCTGTGTAACCAACACCTCTGACATTTACTGGTTGAATAGGCAGTCAATTACAAGGGCAAATATGGTAGTAATTGGTTCGTTATACCAATTATTTAACACACCTCCTCTTACTTTTGAAGAAGTGATCATTCTGTGATTCAGTGGTTGATGTTGACAAGATATAGATACATTTTTACTAATATGTTAATATTTCAGAGAAGCTATAAGAGAGACTTTCAGGAAAAATAAAGCATTGCCCATGGTTTCCATCAAGGTAAGACACTTTATGTTCAAGACTACAGAGTGCAGAATGTACGTTGCAAAAAAGTGGTGAATTTTAGGAATCTAAGCATACTGTGTTATATTTTCACTTCATTAGGTATTTACACATACAAAGTACTATCCTTATATTTAACATCCACATGTTTTTTAACACCCCATTCATTACTCTGTAAATTTCTCAAACTTTGTGAGAACTGTTTGTTTCCTAGCAGGTTACCATTTGACACACTTTCACTATTTAGAAGATATTGCATTTGGTGTGTGTCTGTCATCCTGATTCATAACCAGTGTGTCCTTTTGTTGGATATTTTGTCAACATCTGCATATCTAATCATTTCCATCCTTGAGGCAGAAAAGCCCCCCTGGGCTACTGTGTTCAGAACATATTACATCAGATGGCAGGGTGTGACTTGTAAATTGAATTCAAAATAAGGCATCATGTAACACATATTTACACAGACAATATAACTGCTCAATTTATATAACTGAATTTATAAGTAAGGTTAAATTGTCTAAAAGGCATTGAGGTAGACCTGCCAGCTCATTACATTTTGATGTCATATATACTGTATAATACCTTATGATGAACAATGTTAATTCAACAATATTAAAAAAATAATTAACTGAGGCCAAAGCAATCTTAAAGTTTGTTTATTATTATTCGAAATGTTTTCTCACTCTCGTTATTAATTCTACCATAAAAGATGCAAATATTTCATTATATCTTAAATAGTCATGTGTGTTGAAATTTGTGATTGTCTAAGGATGTGATTTGTGTGTGTTTTAGTGCTCACCCTACCATGTCGGAGGTAAGACGGTCATCATGGGGGACGCAGCCCACGCCATGGTTCCCTTCTATGGACAGGGCATGAACGCAGTAAGTTTTTGTATTACAAACGTAGCCAACCTAACTCAGACTTTTCATTTAAGTGTAAACAATAGAAGTTGGATGTAATGTTATATTAAAAGGTGCATTACACCCTAAGCAAAATGAGAGGACAACGTTTTGATAAAGAATGTTATCTTACGAAGTAAATGTCTGTCCTTCACGGGTAAAATCTTCGCTTCCCCAATGTTTTCCTTTCACATGTACTAACTACATGTATATATAGCATGTTAATGTCTACATATATTGGCATTTGTGAAATAAATTCGCCCTGATTTCAGAGGGCAAAAAAGATGAAACTTAATTACATAAACTGTGGCAAAAATGTCCTGGTACACGGTAACTTAGAGTTAATAGTATGAAAAATCATAACAGCAGATATGATGTAAATATTGGTTGGACACCTTACCTTTCCAAAAAAAAGGGGGTATTTAAGGCTCAATGATTGCAGATTGATGTTACAACACTTGAATTAACAATGTCTGAAATTTTCAGTTGTCAATAAATGACTTCATGTACAGGTGTTCAGATCATATTCAGGTTGATTGATAGAATTGTGTAAGATGAGTTGTACCTGAAATCAACATTAATACAAGCTGATCTATACCATTACCATGTATATTAGATACATTGAATCTAGTATGATCTGTAGATCTGTGATTGTAGTTAAAGAATCTGCATCCTAAAGATTGTAATCAGTTACATTACACATTGTTTTATACCTCTGTATATTTTATATTTCTGTATAAGGGATTTGAAGATTGCATTGTGTTCAACGACAAACTGAATGAGCACAATGATGATTTTGGTAAGTAATCTGCTTCTTCATTTTGATTTTTCTCAAGACTTAAAATAAGAAAATAATATCCCTTTGTGATGCGGTCTGGGACGTTTTGAATTAATATGCATGGCACTTTTTGTCGTCACTCTATATAGCGACTATACCATTTGATTTAAGTAATTTTGGTCCCATTCTATATAATGACCAAATATGGGAATACCTTCACTGAGTTTGTATTTAAGAACAAAAGAGGTCAACTATCTAAGTAATTTGTGTCATGTATAACACCTCCATAATTCTCTTGAAGAAATGTGGATTGCATGAAGTTCATTGTCATTCTGACATATTGTATTGTGTTTATAAAACAATTATTGGCTTGTGTGTGTGGATCTCTACATGTGTATACCGTTATTTCAAATTAGAAGTTACCTTTGTTTTACCTGTTACAGATGCAGCCTTAAAAGCCTATACCGAGTACAGAAAACCTGACGCCCAGGCCATCAATGATTTGGCGATGTACAACTATGTTGAGGTATGGTGTCATTCCTGTGTGTTTTATACTGACACAGTAATGTAAACATACAACTATGTTGAGGCATGGTGTCACTCCTTGGGGTTTTATAATGACACAGTAATGTAAACATACAACTATGTTTAGGTATGGTTTCACTCCTGGGTGTTTTATACTGACCCAGTAATGTAAACATACAACTATGTTGAGGTATGGAGTCACTCCTGGGTGTTTATAATGACACGGTAATGTTAACATACAACTATTTTGTGGTATGGTGTCACTCCTGGGTGTTTATAATGACACGGTAATGTTAACATACAACTATTTTGGGGTATGGTGTCAATCCTGGGTGTTTTATACTGACACAGTAATGTTAACATACAACTATGTTGAGGCATGGTGTCACTCCTTGGGGTTTTATAATGACACAGTAATGTAAACATACAACTATGTTGAGGTATGGAGTCACTCCTGGGTGTTTATAATGACACATTAATGTTAACATACAACTATTTTGTGGTATGGTGTCACTCCTGGGTGTTTTATACTGACCCAGTAATGTAAACATACAACTATGTTTAGGTATGGTTTCACTCCTGGGTGTTTTATACTGACACAGTAATGTTAACATACAACTATTTTGGGGTATGGTGTCAATCCTGGGTGTTTGATACTGACACAGTAATGTTAACATACAACTATGTTGTGGTATGGTGTCAATCCTGGGTGTTTTATACTGACACAGTAATGTAAACAAACAACTATGTTGAGGAATGGTGTCATTCCTGTGTGTTTTATACTGACAGAGTAATGTTAACATAGAACTATGTTGAGGTATGGTGTCACTCCTGTGTGTTTTATACTAACACAGTAATGTTAACATCTAACAATGTTGAGTTATGGTGTCACTCCTGGGTGTTTTATAATGACACAGTAATGTTAACATACAAATATGTTGAGGTATGGTGTCATTCCTGTGTGTTTATACTGACACAGTAATGTAAACAAACAACTATGTTGAGGTATGGTGTCACTCCTGGGTGTTTATAATGACACAGTAATGTTAACATACAACTATTTTGTGGTATGGTGTCAATCCTGGGTGTTTTATACTGACACAGTAATGTTAACATACAATTATGTTGAGGTATGGTGTCACCCCTTGGTGTTTTATACTGACACAGTAATATTAAAATACAACTATGTTGAGGTATGGTGTCATTCCTGTGTGTTTTATACTGACACAGTAATATTAACATACAACTATGTTGAGATATGGTGTCACTCCTGGGTGTTTTATATGACACAGTAATGGTAACATCTAACCATGTTGAGGTATGGTGTCACTCCTGTGTGTTTTATACTAACACAGTAATGTAAACATACAACTATGTTGTGGTATGGTGTCACTCCTGGGTGCTTTATACTGACACAGTAATGTAAACATACAACTATGTTGAGGTGTGGTGTCACTCCTGGGTGTTTAATACTGACACAGTAATGTTAACATACAACTATGTTGAGGTATGGTGTCACTCCTGGGTGTTTTATGCAATGCTTTTTGTAAGGCAAGGTGTCCTGATCAATACATCAAGTCACTTTTATCAAACTAAGAGTAAAGGTCAATGTTAATTATAAAGTCATGATTCTGATGACCTCTAGCATATTTCTTCTGATTGAATTTTTGAAGTAGTGGACCACTTATGATGAACCCCAGGGAACCAAAAGAGACTTTTGGTATAGGTGCAGTTTCTTCATTTGATGCGATGGAAAAACAAACCAATATTACTTAATTATATGGATGATGTGAATTTAGTCATGTTTAAATAAGCATGTTAAAAGGAGTTAATAAGGTCTTCTAGAGTTCAGTAGCAATGTGCTGTAACAACTACATACACCTTTATTGTGACATTGTTTGTGTTTCCAGATGAGAAAGTCTGTAAACTCAAAGATGTTTTTGCTGAGAAAGAAGCTGGACAATTTCCTGTACATGCTGTTCCCTAACAGATGGGTTCCTCTGTATACCATGGTAATGTGTTTATCAAACACTACTACACTAGATGTTACCACTACCACACTACATGTTACCACCACTACTACCACACTAGATGTTACCACTACCACACTAGATGTTACCACTACTACACTAGATGTTACCACTACTACACTAGATGTTACCACTACTACCACTCTACATGTTACCACTACCACACTAGATGTTACCACTACTACACTAAATGTTGCCACTACCACACTAGATGTTACCACTACTCCACTAGATGTTCCCACTACCACTAGATGTTACCACTACAACACTAGATGTTACCACTACTACACTAGATGTGACCACTACCACTAGATGTTACCACTACAACACTAGATGTTACCACTACTACACTAGATATTACCACTACTACACTAGATGTTACCACTCCCACTAGATGTTACCACTACAACACTAGATGTTACCACTACTACACTAGATGTCACCACTACCACTAGATGTTACCACTACAACACTAGATGTTACCACTACTACACTAGACGTTACCACTACCACTAGATGTTACCACTACAACACTAGATGTTACCACTACTACACTAGACGTTACCACTACCACTAGATGTTACCACTACAACACTAGATGTTACCACTACTACACTAGACGTTACCACTACCACTAGATGTTACCACTACAACACTAGATGTTACCACTACTACACTAGATGTTTCCACTACCACTAGATGTTACCACTACAACACTAGATGTTACCACTACTACACTAGATGTCACCACTACCACTAGATGTTACCACTACAACACTAGATGTTACCACTACTACACTAGACGTTACCACTACCACTAGATGTTACCACTACAACACTAGATGTTACCACTACTACACTAGATATTACCACTACTACACTAGATGTTACCACTACTCCCCCTCTACATGTTACCACTACCACACTAGATGTTACCACTTCTACACTAGATGTTACCACTACCACTAGATGTTACCACTACAACACTAGATGTTACCACTACTACACTAGATGTCACCACTACCACTAGATGTTACCACTACAACACTAGATGTTACCACTACTACACTAGATGTTACCACTACCACACTAGATGTTACCACTACCACGCTAGATGTTACCACTACTACACTAGATGTTACCAATACCACCAGATATTACCACTTCTACACTAGATGTTACCACTACTACCACACTACATGTTACCACTACCACACTAGGTGTTACCACTACCACACTAGATGTTACCACTACCACGCTAGATGTTACCACTACTACACTAGATGTTACCACTACCACCAGATATTACCACTTCTACACTATTTGTTACCTCTACTACCCTATTACAATTACTACACTAGAAGTTATCACTACTACACTAGGTGTTACCACTACCACACTAGATGTTACCATTACTTAACACAAAATGTTACCACTACCACACTAGATGTTACCATTACTTAACACAAAATGTTACCACTACCACCAGATATTACCACTTCTACACTATTCGTTACCTCTACTACCCTATTACAATTACTACACTAGAAGTTATCACTACTACACTAGGTGTTACCACTACCACACTAGATGTTACCACTACCACACTAGATGTTACCTCTACTATACTAGATGTTACCACTACCACACTAGATGTTACCACTACCACACTAGATGTTACCACCACCACACTAGATGTTACCATTACTTAACACAAAATGTTACCACTACCACACTAGATGTTACCACTACTACACTAGATGTTACCACTACTACCACACTAGATGTTACCACTATTACACTAGATGTTACCACTACTACCACGCTAGATGTTACCACTACTACACTAGATGTTACCACTACCACTAGATGTTACCACTACAACACTAGATATTACCACTTCTACACTATTTGTTACCTCTACTACCCTATTACAATTACTACACTAGAAGTTATCACTACTACACTAGATGTTACCACTACCACACTAGATGTTACCACTACTACACTATATTATTTCAGCACTAGATGTTACCATTACTACATTAGATGTTACCATTACTACATTAGATGTTACCATTACTAAATTAGATGTTACCACTACCACTGGATGTTACCATTACTACATTAGATGTTACCACTACCACACTAGATGTTACCACTACCACACTAGATGTTACCACTACCACACTAGATACTACTACCACACTAGATGTTACCACTACCACACTAGATACTACTACCACACTAGATGTTACCTCTACTATACTAGATGTTACCACTACCACACTCAAAGTCCTTAGAATATTTGTTTTGTATTTAATCAGATTGAGATAAAAGGAAAGCTGAAAAATCTTATTTATTTATCACAATTTTTCAGGTGTCTTTTTCAAGGACCCGGTACCATGAATGTATCAAAAGACGGGAGTGGCAGGACAAGGCTAGTATCCTCCCGTGTAATTCACCCCTATAGAACATGTATTACTGCTGTATGTACAGACTCTGTAGCGCAAAATATTAGTTACACAGATTTTTGGCAGGGTATACGGGTCATACCATCCCTTATACCCTGCCAAAAATCCGTGTAACGAATTTATTACCCCTTTGAGTCTTTTATATTAGGTTTGTACAGTTCTCCGTCAACTTTTCTGTTGTCAAGATAAAAATGGCACAGTACCTCATTTAGTTTCGCTTTATCAAATTCCTCGAACTGTTCTTCCTGATTCTTTTCTTTTTAATACGTCCTCAGCATGTTTGCCACTTGTCTGTTCGACTTTTGTGTGTTTTGTGGCACATATATAGTTTGCCCTTTTGGCGAGTATTTCCTCATCGGTATGCGAAGCGAAACGTTTTGCGATTTTGTAAACAGCGAAACAAACCACGAATGCGAGTAGTCTCCCGTTGCCCCGCCGCAAGATACAAAGACACGTGACCCGTATACCCCTTGTAAAATCACTTGATTCCACCGTATTACTGCTGAGAATCAAGTGACAAGACCGTATACCCCCTGAGATTTTCGTATACCCCCCGAGATTTATGAATGTGGTTTAGTACACTGTATTTTTTAACCAATCAGATTCCTAGATTTTTCTCAAAGGGGTAATAATGTAGGACATTCTATCTAGTGTATTACACCCCTATAGAACATGTATAAATACTGCTGTATGTACGGACTCTGTAGCGTATAATGTAGGACATTCTATCTAGTGTATTACACCCCTATACATGAGGGTAGACTTTCTCTATCCCGCATACCTACATACTGAGGGTAAACTTTCTCTATCCCGCATACCTACATACTGAGGGTAAACTTTCTCTATCCCACATACCTACATACTGAGGGTAAACTTTCACTATCCCACATACTGAGGGTAGACTTTCTCTATCCCACATACCTACATACTGAGGGTAGACTTTCTCTATCCCGCATACCTACATACTGAGGGTAAACTTTCTTTATCCCGCATACCTACATACTGAGGGTAAACTTTCTCTATCCCACATACCTACATACTGAGGGTAAACTTTCACTATCCCACATACTGAGGGTAGACTTTCTCTATCCCACATACCTACATACTGAGGGTAGACTTTCTCTATCCTGCATACCTACATACTGAGGGTAGACTTTCTCTATCCTGCATACCTACATACTGAGGGTAGACTTTCTCTATCCTGCATACCTACATACTGAGGGTAGACTTTCTCTATCCTGCATACCTACATACTGAGGGTAGACTTTCTCTATCCTGCATACCTACATACTGAGGGTAGACTTTCTCTATCCTGCATACCTACATACTGAGGGTAGACTTTCTCTATCCTGCATACCTACATACTGAGGGTAGACTTTCTCTATCCTGCATACCTACATACTGAGGGTAGACTTTCTCTATCCTGCATACCTACATACTGAGGGTAGACTTTCTCTATCCTGCATACCTACATACTGAGGGTAGACTTTCTCTATCCTGCATACCTACATACTGAGGGTAGACTTTCTCTATCCTGCATACCTACATACTGAGGGTAGACTTTCTCTATCCTGCATACCTACATACTGAGGGTAGACTTTCTCTATCCTGCATACCTACATACTGAGGGTAGACTTTCTCTATCCTGCATACCTACATACTGAGGGTAGACTTTCTCTATCCTGCATACCTACATACTGAGGGTAGACTTTCTCTATCCTGCATACCTACATACTGAGGGTAGACTTTCTCTATCCCACATACCTACATACTGAGGGTAGACTTTCTCTATCCCACATACCTACATACTGAGGGTAGACTTTCTCTATCCCACATACTGAGGGTAGACTTTCTCTATCCCACATACCTTCATACTGAGGGTAGACTTTCTCTATCCCGCATACCTACATACTGAGGGCAGACTTTCACTATCCCACATACTGAGGGTAGACTTTCTCTAGCCCACATACCTTCATACTGAGGGTAGACTTTCTCTATTCCACATACCTACATACTGAGGGTAGACTTTTTCTATCCTGCATACCTACATACTGAGGGTAGACTTGCTCTATCCCACATTCTGAGGGTAGACTTTCTCTATCCCACATTCCTACATACTGAGGGTAGACTTTTTCTATCCTGCATACCTACATACTGATGGTAGACTTTCTCTATCCCACATACCTACATACTGATGGATTCTTTCCTCCAACCTCATACCCGAATTTGATAAAAAATTGACACTGACATTTTGAATGCAAAAATAAATATTGTACAAATACCAAGAACATATTTGGAAAGAACAGGAAAAGTATGGTTTAACTTTTCAATTGGTAAAGCTTTATTGTAAGTTTGTTTAAAACTTGGTTATTTCCATATTGCAATGTCAGATGCTGACTGTGTTTTGGCAGTAGATATTCCTCTGCTGACCAAAAAGTCTTCATGACGTCATATATCACATCGAAATAATGTCACATTTCAGACCGTCAGCTGAAATTGGCCAAAATTTCAACAATCATCTTTTTCTTTAGACCCACTCCAGATATGCTAGAATCAAATACTCTCCATGGATGGAAAGGTCCTAATGTGCTTCATCAAAATTGAGAATTTCATTATATCCAGGTCATGCATTCTTCCCTGGGGAGGGGGTATATAACATTTACTGCATATAGGGAAATAACACATTTTGGTATTTTTTTGTTTATTTTCAGTTAAAAATACTGCAAACTTGTATTGCTCATTTGACAGTTAAGTTGAATGTTACAGACAAAATAGTGTTGAATATTACACCTTTCATCTTGTTCTCAGCTGTCCGTTCTGCTTGGTTTCAGATGCTGACAAAGTCCCTCAATGTTGGTTGTGTAGTATTGGGGTTGTCCTTCGTCTTCTTCGGACGTCACATGCTAACCAAACAAGGGTCACTTTTGATGACCTTGACAGAGGATATTGCTGGAAATTTCAAGTCAATGCTTAGTGCATAGATACAATATACATGGTCCTCATTGATTCCCGTATAGGTTCTGATGTTAAATTAGATTCACAGAAATATCAGTTAGCTTTCACAGTACATGAGACACCAAGCAAGAAAGGGAATCTCTAATATCGTGTCTAGTTTAATTTACAGCGAGGCATAAGTCTTCAGATCATATGTTTAGTATATTACACTACAAGGAAGGGAGTATCTAAAATCTTGTCCAGTTTATAAGGCAAGAGGAATGGAGTCTCTGAGAAAGTGTCCAATAAACTGGACAGTGAGGAAGGGAGTATCTAAAATCTTGTCCAGTATATAAGATAGGAGGAATGGAGTCTCTGAGAAAGTGTCCAATAAACTAGACAGTGAGGAATGGATCCGGAACTAGTGTTAAAAATCTTGTCCAGTATACTTAAGGGTTGAATCTTTCTTCGGTCGATTTCATCGGGCGATGAATTGAGTTGGTCTCGAGACAAATTCAACAAGTAGTTCATGTTGATTTTGTCTCAAAACCACTTAACAACTAAATTCATTACCCCATGGAATTGACAAAAACAAGATTCAACTCTTATATTTCTTTTTTTTCCCCAATAATTGGAACCTGTGAAATTCTATATAGTTTGTCGCTGATACTGGAGCTAATGCAAGTCTATGTATTGATGTCCTGTAATTAATAGTTAACTTATGTGCTTAATTCTTGCAAAAATTTAACAACCCTAAGATTGTGTCCAGGAAACTAGACAGATTATTAGGAAGTCCCTAAGATCTTGTTCAGTTTACTTGACAGCCAGGAAGATCTTGTCCAGTTTACTAGACAGCCAGGAAGATCTTTTCCAGTTTACTTGACAGCCAGGAAGATCTTGATCAGTTTACTTGACAGCCAGGAAGATCTTGTCCAGTTTACTTGACAGCCTGGAAGATCTTGTTCAGTTTACTTGACAGCCAGGAAGATCTTGTCCAGTTTACTTGACAGCCAGGAAGATCTTGTCCAGTTTACTTGACAGCCAGGAAGATCTTGTTCAGTTTACTTGACAGCCAGGAAGATCTTTCCCAGTTAACTTGACAAACAGGAAGATCTTGTCCAGTTTACTATATGGCAGGGAAATTCAGAGGATTAATATTAATACACATTACGATGATCATCTTCAATATTAATTTACATCAGCAATCAAAATCAGTATCATATTTTTACAGACAATTGAGTATTGTTGTGACAGATGTTGTCGATAATCACTGGACAAAATATAGATAGTTTTTTTTATACTTTTAGTACACTCAGTTCATACTGAACTTCCAGGAACTGGTGTATATTGCATGTTGGATGTACATGTTTGTACTACATGTAGGGTGTTTAACATATAAAATATATAACTGTACAAGGTTTTCTCAGTACATTCCTGATGTTTTGATGAATATTTAAATGTGAATAGCTTTAATACCTCAGAATCATTGTAAATTTGGCCAAGCATTATCAGATGGTGGGGCCTTCAAATTGCCTTTTGTTTGTGGTCTATGCATAAACTATTTTTGTTAAAGCGATTTTCATAAAAGTACAAGATTGAACTGATTGAAACTGTAGTTATAAGTTCTCTTTGTCTGTAGTCAACATTTAACCTTATTATTTTCAATCAAACTCAATGTAAAACCTGTAAAACAAAAAAAAGTGCGAAAGTTTGTTATAACTTGTCCATCAAATTTAATTTCCTCCCCCTATTTTTCCAACAAGGATGAAATATTATAGAGTTAAAATGTTTAGATAAATGTTATTTTATAATCTCTACAGGATACTATGTTATAAAGGTTGTGGTACATTTCAGTATTATGATATATGTATATCTATCCTTTTATGTATGTAAAACCCATATATCTTGTAGGTTCATGTGATTAATTGCAATCAGCTTCTGTCTGTTGTTGTGTGTTGTCTGTCCGATCACATATTTGACTTCTTTTCAAAAACTGCTGAACTGATTTTTTAAAAGCAAAAATTTCAAGAAAGCATTCAAAGCTAAAAAGGCAAATCATGTCATTGAAAGACCTAAGATATAAGATCAGAAGGAATAAAATTGGCTAAAATTTCACTTTATCCCAGTTACATACTGGTCAAATATCATATAATTTACTCTAGGTTAGTCTTCTAGAACATGAGAAGTCATAAACAGATTTCTTAACATACTTGACCCCTGTGACTTTGAATAACTTTAAATGCCTATAGCTTCCATCTCGGCTACCTTCTCGTCATTTACAAGGACTCAATGCCTTAATTATGGTTCTTTAAGAGATTTAATGGACCATGATGGGCGAAGATTCATGCAATTGGTCTTTTTAGCATTTGGCACAGTTGACCTAAAAACGCAGTCCGCATACCATTCTTTGATGACCTGGTCATCACTGCAGTCAAATCTTGTATCCCCAAATGTATATTCATGTGGACTCATGTGAAGATCAAACATATCATATACAATAGTCATGTACATAGACTTTGACTGCATATTTCAGTCTTTTTCAGCGGAATTGAGTCGCACCATGAACTGAAAACTGGACTGAACCTGAACAGCTGGGAGTCATTATTAACTCCCAAATGGTTGGTTGTACTCCCACTTTTCAACAATTGCCCTAAGTAACAAAGTACCAAGGGGAATGTCAAATATACCCCCAAATCTAAAATTCTGTGGGACATTGGAGACCAATTGTACCTGCAGAGGAATAGCTGCAATAGGCACTACTTCACCAGTCTTTTTGATTCTCTGCCTAACTACGATCTTCATAGTTGTGAATTTTGTTTATGGCAAACCTTTGTTTTAAGTTATATGATCTGCATGCAGTTCATGGCAGGGCTTGCGCTGTCTGTAGCCAAAGTAGCCATTGGCTACTTTTATTTTGAATGGACTCACCACATATCGTTTTCTGGGACAAAGACTCTTGCGTGTATTGTGGCTGACACTGATTGTGTAAACATAATCAGGGCCGTCACAGATAAGCATGCGCGCTGTACGACTGCGAGCTTATGCTTTTGTCTAAGTTGTTAAGTCAATTAACAACTTTCAGGGGGCAATAATGCCTTACCTTTGTTGTTGTTCAGTTAATCTTGGTAGAATGTGCAGTTAATTTCTTGACTTGGTTGTAGATCTATAATAGCTTATTCAGTTATTGGGTATCTGTGTAGTTCGTGACTGTCATTGGTTGTATGTGCAGTTTTAACTACCGGTACCATAAGAAGTCTGTAGATCAAACCTCGCCTTCCTTACTTTCTGTTGTGTTTGAAATTCATAACCGCCCGAGTTTTTGTGTCCCTAATGAGTCACTAGTGACCCATTAGGTATATAACCAGAAGACAGCTTGAATGAATAGCTACATGTATCGTTGTTCAAATGCATGGCCTCAATATTAATGTTCTTTGAAGTTGATAGTGATCAAATTTGTTAAAATATATTCTCAAATGCCAGGAGACCTAGAGTCGTAATATTTTTTCCATTATGTATAGCTGGAATGAAAAGGTTATCAAAGTTGCACAGCTGAACAAACTTGACCTTCCTTTAAGGTCAAAGGGTGAAATATATTAAATCTTCATGATCATTACTTCTCAAGTAACTAAGGTCAGGGGTCATAATATTTCACCAGCTAGAAGCGAGGATGGCTATAAAAGCTGGTCATATACATGACACTGATGATATATTAAAACAAAGTTCATGCCATTTGACCAGTGAGTATGGTAGCTTGGAAGGAGGGCTCTCAGTTGTTCAAATAAATGAATCTGACCTTTCTTTAGTAGAACGTATTAACATCTTACTTTCTTTTTAGTTACAGGAGGCCTAGGATCGTATTTGACCAGTATATATGTACCTGGTAATAAAGGCCTAGGGTTGTATTTGACCAGTATCTACCTGGTAATGAAGGCTATAAGTATGTGTTGCTTCAATAACATTGATTTTCTTTCATTCATGGTCAAAGTAATCAAATATATTAATTCAAACATTAAAACATTCAACATTCAAAGAACTTTTGCAGATTCATTAGGCCATGGTTTGATTCAGGTTTTAAAAGACCACTACTCCTGAGAGGTTTCCACGATTCTAGTCAGATTTGATATTTAACATCAATAGGTCATGAATATGCATAATGTGTGCTCCAAAAATCAAATGAGGGCAATAAGTGTTTTTTATATTTGAATGACTACGCCTCAAGATTATATAGTTTGCTATATTTGTAAATAAATTAGGTCTTTATATTCACCCAAAAAAGCAAACTGAAGGTTATTGCCCTCCAGGAAGCAGACTTTCAGAACACTGAACAGTGCAATTTGACTTGTTTAACATTAAAAAAGAATACTTCTTCCAATTTGTTAGAAAATTTCATCTCAATACTATTTTTATACTTATTGACAGATCTAGAATATTTGTGAAAATGAAGCCATGTTTATTACAACTCACCAGATCGTAGTTACAGTCTGTAGTAGATAGTATTGAGCAATCCAGGTTTTCATTGGAAAGTATCACAATTTGAACTGTATCATTTTTTTATTCTTCTGTTGGAAGGGAACAACTTTTCTTCCATAATTGCCCATGCTTATCGACTATAAGCCATTAAATAGCAGAGATTTTGATAGCCTAAATTTCTGTCTAATGAAATGTGGCCATTTGACAAAAAAAAAAAAAAAATCATGGCCACAAGACTTTGTGTTTTTACATTGTGGGCATTCATTTGTGATGCAATACCATGGTGGGTAGTTAAATACTACAGGTCAAAATTTCTACCAAAACTTTTAAGTGTCATCATTGGTAATACTGTTCACATACCTGTGATTTTTGCTCTCATCGACAAATTCCTTATGTGGTCCAACTCATAGTTTCGCCTGACTTGACAGTTTAAGAACAAAGTCTCTCTAGAAAATTTCATAAAAGTTCTGGTTGAAATCCAAGAACTCCTGACCATTGTCATGTTTGACAAGTGAGAGGTACATGTAGGTAAAGTATCATTCCAGAATGTGTGATCACAGTTCTTTTCCTTTAAAGGTTGTTTTATATTTGTAATAAATATTGTTTATGTTGATGATAAAAATTAAATTCTCATATACCTTCATATTTATGTATTATCTACCATAATTTACTGCATTTTTAAATATATATTCAGTATGAACTGTTATCTGTGTGAGTGTGAAGGAAATAAAAATGAACATTTTATTTTAACAAAATGAAACAAGAGACTTATTCATTATTGCACCAGCATTGTAAATCAATAGAATACATGCATAACATTAACATTTACAGTCTAGTATAGTTATAACTGGACAAGGGCAGACTTTCCTCCTGTATCGATGATCCAACGAGCTTTACTGCATTGACGTCCCTTCCAGCATTGACAATCCAACAATCCTTTCTGTTTTGGAAATCCGACAATCCTTCCTACATAGACAATCCGACAATCCTTCCTGCATTTAGGATCCTTCAAGCATTGACAATTTAACAATCCTTCCTGAATTGATGATCCTTTGAGCACTGACATTCTGATGATTCACCCAACATTTCAGATCAGAGGAGCTATTTCAATGATGCTTAATTAATTTTTATCTGTTCAGATTTGTTTCCACACAACTTAAGTTTCCTTTGCTCAATCAAACTCGTATTCAAACAGGGTTCCCTTGTGAAAAGTGCTTGCTTGGGGATTGCTTTTAACTTTTAAATAGCAATTAAACTTACTTTTAACGGATTCTCAGCTTCCACACTGTACGTAAAATGTCTTGGTTCAATGAAACTCCATTGCCTAGAATGCAGGACTGTCCTTGCGCAAACTACTTGCTTTGGATTGTTGATCAAGGTCACTTTCCACATATTACATTATAAATAGAAGAGCAGTTTGGCTCAACCAAATTCAGAAGTCGAACTGAACATTGGCTTCTGTGCTTATCTGGGATGGCATGACGGATGACAGTTACTTATAGTAGAAATTTATACCTGTATCCACATCTAAGTAATGTAATCCTTTATTGATCTACTGCCAAAAACTTGAACCATGCATTGGAAACGGATTTTTTGGGCAAGACTAGCTTTGAAAAATCATTTCTGAAAAGAAATCGATACCTTGCGGGACATTTTATGCCAAAATGATTAAAGATGAAATTAACAAAATATAATCAACAACAGTGTTTTGAGTGTAAAAAGAGCTAGAGCCAGATTCGAACGACGGACTGCAGATTGTTACACTAAAATTGTAACCGATTGAGCTACCTGGTCAACGGAAGTATCCAGGCCCAACTGTTATGCTAGTTATATCAAAAACAAAATTAAAGGGAGGTTACTGTATATATGAAAAGCCACACTTCAGTGGGATAGGAAACACCTTAATGCAACCAGCAACAGATTATTATTGCTTGGTGATACTCTGTAAGGACGGAATCTTTTAATGTTTTTTATTCTAGACTGTTTCTGGAAATTAAAGAAACTTGTTCAGTCCAAGAGGGATAATTCACATAGTATATATTTAACACAAAACAGTGAAAACAGGTAATTAATAATTGATTAAAACAGCTAGCAGACATGCGTTTGAAAGAGTTAACTTGAATAGGTACATAATGTATTATTAATCTAGATTCATTATGATCAATCTAGACCCATTATGTATTACAAATCATCAAGAGTGTAGTATATATACACACATTTAAACAAAAATACATGAGATGTGACTTTTTTCAAAGTAAGTTCCAGGACTGTATTCACTTGGACCAAAGTCACAGTGTAGTCTTATGGTAGACTATTGGGCTAAGACATTCATGAAATGTAGTGGTGTTTTGGATATTTGGAAGGATTTGAACAAAATTCAGAAACATGTGGATAAATACCAGCAATCTCTGAATGGAAAAAAACTTATTATAAATGACATACATACAATATCCTTGGAAAGTTAAGTATGTAGATTTGCCAACTATAATATAAGTGCACCTTGCTCGCATATTACCAAAGCTACTAAAAGCTATTCAGGGTGTGCTGCTCACATTAATGCTGATACATAGTTCTAGGCCTATTTGAACATGTACAATCGTAGAGCACTCCCGGAATTTAGCAAGAGTTTTAGCTGCATATATCAATAAAATAAAAAAATAAAACACAATTATTTCATTGTTAATAAAGAAAAAGCTGTGTCACTTACAAATACTTCTACTACATTTGGACATTTAATTATGGTCAATTCAGGGTTTCGACAGCTGAAATGGTCAGAAAAACATGTTTTCTCTTTATGTCACATTCCAGTTAATATCACGTTTCTTCTGACAAATGAGAAGTACAAAAATGTAATATAAAGCGAGGTATACTATATTTCACTTTTTTTCCAATTCAGTTATATACATCGAGCTGCTTAATCCAGCTTTCACATATTTGTTTGTCCCTTCACCACAACACCTCTAATCTGGTTGTCCCACTATCCAGTCAGTGTTTAAGGAAACATGTAGCCTTTCTACAACACACATGTTCACTAATAACATTTCAGTAATCAAGCTCTCTCAATCCAGCGACTTTAAGCAGAGAAGGAAATCGTGTCTGAATTATCGAGGCTATTGATTGTATATATGCTTTAAATCAAAGCTACATATATGTATTATCCATGCCAAGAACTACATCAGGCAGACGATGAAACATGTTACAATGCATTGTCACTAGGTGTACATCGTGTAGCATAGTATAAACTGTTACACACTTCTAATGGGAAAGCTGCAGGCTTTCATGTTTTTTCATCGGATAGTTTCTTCTTGGGAAGATCTCGCCCATCAACTTCACGTTTCATCGCATTGTTGCAGCTCAGAATGGCTGCCCTTACTGCATTTCTGTCTCCTGTAAAACGATAAGATAATGTTTTCAATGGTGGCTATTTAATCCACAGTTATAGGCCTGTCAAGTACTTGTAGTTAAACACAGATGATAAATGATGTCAATATCAGTGTCATTTCTCATAATACAATTGTGCTTCAGTAAATATTGTTTTCATCTGTAGAGGAACATAATAAAGTATATTTCCTTCAATATACAAACTACCTGCTAGTTCATCAAGAACCATGTGCAAAATAAAGTTCACAGTATTTCTAAATGTCAGGCCATCTTCTGAGACTAGGTTGAGAGGAATGACATTAAATTGTCTCCCCTGTTTCACACCATTTACAAAAATCAAACATGTGCAATCAAAGTTATTCCGATTTATTTTCCATTTATTACCTGAAATTCTTGTTTNATGTTAATATACAGTTGCTGTGAATTGTTTTCTGAATAGGTGTGTTAGGGTTAAATGTCAGTATATAATAACTGTCATTTGTTTTCTATATACGTGTGTTAGGGTTACATGTCAGTATACA